TTTTACAGAGGAAGGCAAAGGGAGTCAAGGAAAGTTAAAGGTTCATGATTCAGGCTTGGGACTGGATAAACTCAGGGTAGTGGTATCTGAGTAAACTGGCTATTTGGGGATTTAAGGAAGTTACACAGTTTTTATCTTATGTCAGCAAAAGGACATGGGCAGTTTGTAAGTCTTGTGCCTAATTGACCCTTTTCCCGGGAAGGGATGTTTGCAGTTTTTCTTGAACTAGGGCCAAGGTCGGGGACATCCATATCCCACTGACTCAGGGGGCCTGAACTCTGACTCTGTGCTGTGTTGTGAATTACTGCTGTAGGTTTGCTAAGACCTGGAACTCTTTGGGGGACTGGGTCTCTCAACTGAATATATTAAATGTAATAAACATGAAAGAACGAGAAATTATAAAACATTTTAAATATATTTTTCATGCTATCACTATAAACAAACAGTAAAAAATAAGAATGTCATAGCCTCAACATTAGGACAGATTAGAACTTTCAAACAACTTAATGCATACACATTGAATCAATGGTCACTCAATTATCTGAACATGGGAAAAGTGTATCTAGTCCTTGTCATAATGCAACGTGAATTACCTCTAGTCCTATTCCAGGCTTCAGCATTCATGCTTCTGCTGACATCATGGCATCCAAACTCCCACAGAAATAGGCATTAACTTCGCTTGCAGTATCCTAAGCCGTCTCTGTGTTTCAGATTTCAGCCTGGCATCAACATCAGAGCATTATAGCTTGAAAAGTCCTTGGACCTGATCTAATTTGATACCACCCCAAAACAATTACTAAACCAAGACTGAGGCGAAAACTGGGCTTACCTAAAGTGACAGATGAGCATCTTGTACATTGGGAGCTGGTACTAGAACCAAGGTCTTTCCATTCCACTGCATTCTCCTTTGTATGAAGGTGTCTAAGTTCTCTGCAGCTAAATGAAGTACAGGAAGGGAATTCAAACATGTTTGTTACCCATTTCAGTCAGTATGATTTCCATTTCATTTGGGCATTGACCATAACAGAAGGAAGTCACATAAGCTATAAAACATTTTTATGAAATACAAATATAAGAATAAACAGCAAATGGACTCATTTTTAGATACAGGATTGCTTGAGACCATGAAGGCTACTCTTGTTCAGATTCAAAGGTTTTATTGTCCTCAAAAAGTTGTCCCTAACTGACTCAGGCCTCCCTGAATATGGGTCTCAGCCAGAAGGACTGAGCAGGCTAAGGGACCTCAGAGAGTGGAACCAGGATGTATTCCTGGTGCAAAAAGGACCTTGAGGACACATCCCCCATGGAGGGATACTCCCTTAACCTAGAGACAGGAGAGAAGTCCTAGTCCCTACTTCAAATGACTTGACAGATTTATATGACCTCACATGAATGACATTGCCCTACATGTGGAATTGGGGTGGGGGGATGGGAGGGGAAGGTGGTCAGGGTGCTTGTGAGGGGGCAGAGAGGGTAAGTGAGAGGGAGGGAGGGAGAAGGAACTGGGATGGACATGTAAAATAAAAAAAAAAGTTGTTCCTAAAGCAGGTGTAAGGTGATGGATGTTGACTCCCTTCTCTCCTGCTTCAAAATTGATATTTATTATAAAACTAAGCAGAAACTTATAGGAATTAAGAAAATGAATTCTGGAAAAAAAAAAAAGAAAATGAATTCTGACAAATGCTCATGTTTTCATAGTACAACTCTAACCATACTCATCATGGGTATTACATGCTGATTCCTCTGCAGTCAGACTCCATAATTATTATTCTTTCTTTTGCATGCTAAACCCTAGAAAAGAGCCAGTCATGAAGTTTTATGGCAGAGTTTTCAAACAGAATGGCCATTTTCTACTCTCACTTGCACCAACCTGGATATTGTGCACCAGCATTAGTCTCTAGGAGCTGGCTTCGCTCTCAAGACTTATGTTTTCCTTTGCTGTACTTCTGCTCTGGGGTTTAGAATTTCAGGTGTAAAATAAAGGACACCTAGACACCATTTCTTATTGATGATGGCTGATGTGAACTGAGACACCTGGGATATGATCCCAGCATTCCCTGTTGACACCAAGTTTGGCACAAGCCTCCATAATGTCTTAATTCCCTATTCCAGACAGCTACATTTTTTGTTCACTTTCTCAGTTCTCATCCACTCCACTATTTCATCAATAATTGATACGTTATATGTAAGCAAACCCACATTGTTTGGGGGGATGGCACTGTTTGTTGGCATGGAAACTGACTTCTTTGTGAAGTGTGGCCTGGAAGCCTAGTACTCGGATCTGAGGACTGAGCAATAAGTTGTTCAAAATACAGAAAAACTGGTGGCCAACAACAATGCTTGCTTTTGAAAAGAATTTTTTCTTATTTTACATATTTATACCAGTTCTCTTTCCCTCCCTTCCCTCCCTCCCTTCCTCTCTCTCTCCCTCCCATGTCCCCCTCCCATCCTATCTCCTCCCCCCCACTCCACAGGGAGGGTGATGCTGTCCAGGAGGGATCAAAAAATCTGTCAAGTCATTTGGAGTAGGGACTAGGCCCTCCCTCCTGCCTCTAGGTTAAGGGAGTATCCCTTCATGGGGAATGTGCTCCCAAGTCCTTCTGTGCACCAGGGATACATCCTGGTTCCACTGTCAGAGGTCGCTTAGACTGCTCAGTCCTTCTAACTGAGACCCATGTTCAAGGGGTCTGAGTCAGTCCAATGCTGGTTTTTCAGCTATCAGTCTGGGGGCCTGTTAGCTCCCCCTTGTTCAGGTCAGCTGTCTCTGTGGGTTTCTGTAGCCACATTTTCTTATCTGTCCTTCCTCTCTGCATCTGGATTCCAGTTTGGCTCTCTGTTTAGCTGTGGGTGTTTGCTTCTGTTTCCATCAGCTACTAGATGAGGGCTCTATGATGGTGGATAAGTTAGTCATCAATCTCATTATCAGGGAAGGGCATTTATGGTAGCCTTTCCACTGTTGCTCAGACTGTTGGTTGGGGTCATCTGGTCTCTGGACAGTTCTCTGAAGTCAGTTTTCTCTTCAAACCTCTAATTGCTAGGAGAAAGAGAAGGGGAGGAGAGGAAAGCATGTGGGACTAGGGAGATTGTGGCAGGGGAGGAGTAGATGAGAGGAGAGAGAGAGAGGGAGAAGGAGAGAGAGTTACCATAAAAGAGGGAGCCATTATAGGTTTGAAGGGAAAGATTTTTATTTACTTTTTAAAATTGCAGATCAACTTCTAAGTCTGCCACTAGTATCAGGAGGACAATAGAAGAAATTTGGAGCCGGGCCGTGGTGGCACAGGCCCATAATCCCAGCACTCAGGAGGCAAAGGCAGGCAAATCTCTGTAAGTTCAAGGCCATTTTGGTCTCCAAAGTGACTTCCAAGACAGCCTGGACTGTTACACAGAGAAACCATGTCCTGATAAACCAAAAACCAAGGGTGGGGGTGGAATATTTGGAACTGCGCAGACCCTGGGGCAAAATAAGTATAAAACAAATGCTGGGAACCAAGTAAGAAAGTCTAATTCAAAAAAAAAAAAAATGTGGCCTGAGAGGTTGGGCTGCACAGAGTTTAAATAAGTAAAATACATTATCATTTAAGCAATAAGGAATCCCCATTCAAAGGGAGAGCCACAGCTCCACCTGAATATATCTCTAGCTTGTGTCGATTGACAAAACCCAACCAGGACAATTTCTCCATGTCAACTTGATATACAAACACCTTATTATTCACCTCTAACTATTCCTTTATCATTTACCACTAAGGTCTCATATTAATATTAATATCATGATATAAAACATACATAACTTTAAAGCATCTCAGTGCCCTTAGCTTATGAAAGGAAGGTGTTCCATCTTGAGCTCCTCCACAAGGACTTAACTTACCCGAAGGGAAATGCTCCCATCACATTTGTATTCTGGACCTTAATCCCCCATCTCCTTCTCTTCCTCCATGTCTTCCTCCCTCTCTTTCCCCCCACCTCTCTCTCTCTCTCTCTCTCTCTCTCTCTCTCTCGTGTGTGTGTGTGTGTGTGTGTGTGTGTTTGTACCCGTGCATATGTTGGCAGACTGGAAGGCAGAATTCTCACTGTCCACCTTGTTTTCTCACTTTACCTGACACTTGGCAATTCAGTTATTCTGACTAGGCAGTAAGTTCAAGGAATATGCCCATTTGTGCCTCATTAACACTTGAATTACTGATATAGAGTGCCATATCTGGCTATTTTATATTAATTTTAGATACGGCAAGTGAGTTCTTCCAGGTGTTTTGCTTTGAGAACCCTACCATCATAATTAAGATGATGGAAAAAGAAGATTTTTATTGTAGTTGAAGTCTATTTATTTTAACCCTTTGTTAAGTAACCAATCATAACACCATTATTTATTACTTAAAATTGTTTTGGCAGTCTAAAGTTGACACATGAATTATATACTCCCGTGAAGTCTCAAAATTGGAAGCCCTCAACCTTACAGGACACTTAATACCCCAGTCACGTGTTTATTCTCTCAACATTGTCATCAATATTGTAAATTCTTTTTTGCTTTGGAATTCTGTACATTTCTAATGCCCCAGTAAGATGGGGTATTGTCATTCTCAGTGACATGTGAGGAATATGGTGTTTTTTGACATGTGTGAAACAGGTGAATGGGAAAGAAGTCACCTTACAGCCATCATAGGAACTCAAACTGGAAGGAGTACATGTACATGCTGAAAAGTTAGAACACAGTTATTTTAAATTTCCCCTGTCTTCCAAATCTCATGCTGCAGGTGTCTGTTTCTATAAAAGCATGCTATTCCATTTCTTTGTATTTATTACCTTCCAATATACTTTACTTTTTATTAAATGGGGGATAGGATAATTGGATGGGGAGATCCATTGTTCCCCCTCACTTCAAATCTTTCTTGATCACCCATCTCAACTAAAGTGAGATGTAACCATTGAAATACTAAAAATGTTCTCTTGCAACAGACACCACAAGCCAGGGTTAATAACACCAAAGGCATAAACATAGATGAGTGCAAATTGGTCTTTATTTCTTAAAAAGCAGAATTACTGTGTAATATGAATTCATCACAAGGACCATGAGTTAGGTTTCCTGGGTGGGACCACAGTTTCGTTAAAATAATCATTTCAAAACTGGGTTCTCAGCGTCTTCACTTCCTCAGTTGGCAGCAGCGGGCAGCAGTCCAGTCTATGATTGGACACAGGCAGTGGCAAATATTTTCATTCTGCACATTCCAAGATCCACAGGCAAAGCCACAAGAACAACCAGTAGCAGTCATTCCTGCATGGTTATGTGAAGTAAAGACATCAGGCACCTAGGACCATAAGAGATGGAAAGTCCCTAACTCTTCTCTCTGGGAAGCTCATGCATGTATATAGATTTGTGGGGGCATATAACTAAATAAATTTTGAGAGTTATCTTCAAGAAAAAAAATCATTTAAATGAAAAAACTTTGAATTTTACTGTCTTTCAATCGATGCGAAATTTACTTTAGTGCTGGCTCCTCTTCTACAAATACAGGGGAGTAGGAATGAAAACAAAAGAGGGCCATATCCATGACCACACAATTGAAGTTCAGGTAGACTGTCATATGTGGGCATGAAGGAGAAGTGACAACAAGAAGAAACCCAGAGTCCTTCAGTAGCATCCTTAAGACAACTGAAAATCAGGAAGGGATATCTAAGTACCTGGGTCTGTGGCTCTGCTCCATGGCAGTAAAGGTGGGGTGCATTGGAAGATACAGGCATTAGAAGCACTGGGAAGGGGTGCAGAATCACAGGGCTTCTTACTCACAAATTCTCCTTATGAGTTACTCACCAGGTGGACAGGATGCCAGTGTGCCTGAGGCTTTGATACTAGTGCAGGAGAGACTCTTAGTCTCAATGTGGGGAGGATGCTCTGCAGGTAAGAGAATAAGGGGTATTTCCATAGTCTCTTGCTCTCACGGCTTTGTTTTTTAGTCATCTTCTATCTTGGAGATGTCCCTGTTTCCATGAGTAGTCTAATGACTTAAGTTTTAAGACTTAATGTCTTCATATGTGAAGTCAAAATACTAGTTGTGTTTACTACATACAGTGGCAGTGAAAATTAAAATGAGCTAACTTAAAGCTTTATGTTACACCTTTTCAAGATGTATTCATAAATTACAGGTGCCACCCTCCTAGGCCTGATTATCAAATAAAATGGAGCACTTAGCCATGAGTTCAGCAACAGCAAGTTGAATGGGATAGAGATGTAATTATAATTTAGGAATAAGAGGCATGAACACTGGTTAATCTCAGCTTTCCATACACCATCAATTACCTAGACGACTAAGAGCTTCCTTGAGCTTCTTCATGACAGAGTCTAAGGTCTCCTCCGTATTCACTGGGGCCATCAGTTGAAGAAGAGAGATGATGATGAGAAAGGAGCAGGTTGTAGTCTTCATCTTTTCAAAGTCAGTGTCTTGGAGCTGGAAGAAAAAGCCAAAGAAGATGATTATCACTGAGCTCTGGAGTCACTAGCTATGAGGGATAGGAAGAGACTGTTATACTTTGTAGAGAGTAGGGAGGGAAGAACAAAGCAACCATGCTGCAACTGTTCTAGCTGTTTGCTGAAGCAAAGAGGGTTCCTGCAGTACAGCAGATTCACTCACAAAAATCAGAAAGGTTTCCAAGTTCTGGCCAAGCAAGGATGCTTTTAAACCCGGGGGGGGGGGGCTTGGCTATCAACCTGGCTACTCATAATGTAGAAAACACACAACCCTCCAACTCTGCCATGTAAATACTTCCCAGACTTCCAAAGAACTTTGTAGCAGTTTCCCCTGAAACATTCCCTCAAAGACATGTGGAGAGATTCTTGAGCTTCAAGTGGTAAACACACTCCACGTTTGGAAAACCTGAAACTTGAGTGTTCTCAATGTATTTCCAAAATGTCCCTACTTCATGTTATAGGAGTGGCTAACCAATTGCTGGGAAGGAGACTGACCAGCTAAGCTGCCTAGAGGAGAGCCTCCTACCTGTTTAGCTGCCTGCAAATTGTACAAAGAGCTCCAGGCTTCACCTTGGGCACCAGCGTGGTGATTCCCCTGAAGGCTTTACAGTAGGCAGAAAACAACCGATCCACAGAGACAAGAAGGAAACTCAGCTCAGCCCAATTTTATTATAACTGGTGCTGGACCAGGACTTCTAAGTCTGGTCCAGATCATTTTACTTTAGCCATATTTAAGCACAACTCAATTAAAAAAAAAAAGTATTCAGGTAACAATTAACTCCATCCCAAGTGCACTACAATTTAAGACATATTTACACTGATACTCCTTACAAAGTACATCTGGCTTCTTTTCCAAGAATGGGCACTATTGACTCAGAGATAAAGCCCAAGGTTTAGGCCTAGGGAGTTTGACTAAGGTAAACATGTCTGTGAGTGTCAGGATTGACCTGGTCCTAGGATAACATTGAACTCACTTAGGCTGTTGTAAAGTACAAGTGACCTCCCTCATAAAAGTGTATTTGATGGTCGAACAGTAATGCTCAAGTTTTAGGGGGAAAAGGTCTTGGATAAGTAAAAATATAAATTCTGGGAGATAAGGCAGAGCCTGTCTCATCAGGCAGCAGAGGATCACCAGGTTGTGAAATAACATTCCAGGAAAATCAGCTCTGCACCTCATTACACTGAAGAGGTGAGGTGTGTGTTTAACTTTCTTGGCTTCTCCAGTACTCACCTGTGTGCTCTTTGCTCTTTAAAATCACCAATGGTTGGATGGGCCTTTCAGTAGGTCAGTTGCTTTTGATTCATCCCTTCTCCTGTAAGTAACCTCCACCAAGACACCTGTAAAGAACTTCAGTAACTTACTGATTCACTGAACTAGACCTAGGTAGATTTGCTTTGTTGTTCCATTATCTGTTCTCTCTCAAGATGAGTAGTCATGTGTGTCTTTTCTTCTGAGAAAAAAATTACATAAAATTCACTTGATACATGATCAGGGAATATGGTCATGAACCAAAGATAAGTTGAGATTCTTCTGAGACATGCACTGGAAGCTGATCTCTAAAAGTAGACATCCATGGCAGAAATCTTGATATAACTCCCTTTCCTCATAAGATATGGGGTTATATACATTTTTGCTATATCATGGGTTTCATGGACTTTCCTTTGGGTGTTAAGACATACAGCCAAGGCTGTGTCTTCTGTCCAGAGGAAGAGTCTGAGTGAGTAGTCTGCAGAGGAAATCCAGATGGGTCTATCTTCCTCTATATAATATGGAGTGGCATGCCTGCTTGATGAATGGTGACTACCATATGAGAACATAGTTGACCAAGAAAGGTTAAAGATTTAGAACAATTTTTTTTTGCTCCCTGAGAGTAAAAAGTAAGGGAAGAGAATATCCATAAGCTGGGTCTGAGGTAGCATAAGCACATCTCTTTGTAGTAAAAAGTCATATCATGGCAAGATGGCAGGTCAGTAAGGACTTGCCTTTATACACCACCAATGATAAATGAAAATGAATGTTCTGTTAGCTTGCTGATCAGTAGCCTCTGATTGGATAAAAGAGAAAATGACATGGAACTTGTTTTAAGTGAATTAATCAGAAACTTGCATATTTTATTGGATATTAGTGACTGGTGGGTTCCATGTTAAAACATAACTTTTTTTTTCTTCAAATAGGAGAGGCTTTTGAGGATCTAAATGATGGAGAACAGAAAATAGATTAAATCTTTAAGGTACTAAAACACACAGTAGGAGATTGGAGATGAAGAGAGGAAAATCAATTGATGAATTCTGTATTCTGTTCAGTTACAAAAAAAAAAAAAAAAAAAAAAAAAAAACAAATGTGGCAAGATTTGAGCTCTTCTTAGAGCTCCTAGAAAAAGCTGATGAAAAAAAAAAAAAAACAACAACAACAAAACAGAACACTTTTTGTGAGTTCTGAGAAGGCTTTTCAAGCCTAACCATTGTTTCACAAAGGGTTAAAAGAAGGGGCAGAACTTATGAAGGAATAAACAGTCTTCACAGAAACTAATATTATGGGGGAAAACACCCAAGCCACTTTGACAGGGTGATCAAAGTTGCCTGCAAGTGAGGGCCATTCATGGACTGGAGTCCTCCTAGCAAACTATGAACTCACCAGTCTGTTATTAAGGAACAGATTTCTTGGGCTTTGGTAAATCTGGAGCCAAGCCCATTCAGGCCAAGTCTCAAAAGCACCAGGGTCAGTGGGCAGCAGTAAAAAGCTCAAAGTTTCACTAATAGTGATCAATGCCCTATCCAGACAAAACTGTGAGCATTTCCTTTCTGGAGAAATGTATACCGATGGTGGAATTTTTTCTAACCTTGGGCTCACACTGAAACAACACATGACAGAGATAGAAGGAAGAAAGGGGGAGACAGAAATGAGAAGAGAGGAAGGAGAGAGAAGAGGGGAGAATATGAATGGCCAGAGCTGCAGCTCAAGCAGAGTCTACCAGAATCTGGGTAGGGTATAACCAGGCAGGAATAGCTTGAGCTAGCATGGGAAAACCCATAGGGGTTGGGGAACTGTATGGGGGTCCTATCCAATGGAGGTCATTCATGATGAAAAAGCCAAACAGATGATACAAATGATAGGGCTTTCCCATGATCAATTAGGCCTTGCTAATGTTTGGTGTGTTTGTTGTTTTTAATTCCTCTAGCGGTTGCATTTCTAGTTCAATTTGCATTTACGTGGAATGGTCAACAGTGGACTTTCAGAGCACTCCAAGATTGCCTTCAGAATTCCACTGTTTATCATTCAATGATGGTCTTGCTTTGTTATCCTGACCATCCTCTATGAAGAGGTTTCATTTCCTTGACAGCACACTGCTAAAATTCTGTGTGTTCTGTGTATTTAAAAATACATACAAAATACATGAAAGTAGGTGCACCTAAAAGAATGACAATGGGATTTCAGATGAAATAAGCTACAAGGACCAGAGAGATGTTAAATCCTTGGGAGTATTATGATCCTGTGAGACTCATGTGGTACATGACAACGTTACTTTTTGAATCCTACAATAACTGTGTCTGTAATGGTAAATGAACTCCTGGAATATTAGTGGATTTTTAGTTGCTCTTTATATGCTGTCTAGATTTTGTTAACTTGACACAAGCTAGAGTCATCTTGGAAGAGAAAACCTGAGAAAGTTCCTGTACAACAATGGCTTATGAGCAAGTCTGTGGGGGCATTTTCTTGACTCAATGTTAAAAAAAAATTAATATATAACTCTTGAATTAAGGCTCACTCAAAATTTTTGGATACAGTAGAATGCATCTAGTCCTTGTCAGAATATAACATAAATGGGTTCTAGTCCAATTCCCAATAGAGTCCTTATTCTCCTCCATGCCTTGTGAGTCTAGTCTTCACCCTCCACAGTTCAATGGCATTGTGATAATCCACCAGAATAGGTCTTAACTTCTCCTTACAGAATCCTAAGGGCATCTCTGTGTTTCAGATGTCAGTCTGGCATCAACATCAGGTCATTGGAGCTTGAAAAGTCCTTTTACCTTATCTAATTTGATGCCATTACTCAACAGATCACTAACCCAAAATTGAGGTAAACATTGTGTTTACCTAAAGTCACAGATAAGCATCTTGTGGCTTGGGAGCTGGTACTAGAACCAACATCTCTCTGTTCCACTGTATTACCCTTTGAATGAATCTGTCTAAATTCTTTGAAGCTAAATGAAATACAAAAACTGGAAAAAGACATGATATTTTCCAGGGTTATATACATTCTCTAGTTACTCTATTTAACTGGGAGATTGACCATAAAAGAATAAGATCATATAAATTATGCTGTAATTTTAAACTACAATATAAAGTAAAATAAAATAATTTTTCTTTTCTGGATGCAAGACTGCTTGAGATCAAAGAGGCTATTCACACTCAGCTTCAAGGGTTTTATTTTCCTCAACAAAGTTATTTCAAAAGCAGAGGTATAGTGACGAATGTTGACTTGCCTCTCTTCTGCTAGGCAATTGTTATTTATTATGAAACTAAACATAAGCATGCAAGATTTGTGAAAGAATTTCAACTTCTAGTTCAGTATTCATTTTTTTGTAGATCATCTTCTCCAATCATCCTTGTCATGTATATTTTGATCATTGTCACAGTCCTCTGCAATTTCCATTGTTACTATTCTGTCTTTTCCATGCTAAGTCCTGAGAAGGAACCTTGAGCTTGACATGAGACCTCAGAGCTGCCTTACCAATCACAATAGTCATTATCTATTGTCACTTGCACAAACCTGGGTGTTGTGCCATAGATTAGCACCTAGTTCTGCTCTGAGGACTTCTGCTGCTCTCTGCTGCACTTCCTTTCTGGAGTCTAGAAGTTCAAGTGTAGAATTAAGGAACAATTTAAACCACTGATTCTTATTGAAGCTGACTGATGCCAACTGTGATATCTGGGTTACGACCTCAGCATTTCCTGTTGACATGAAGTATGGCACAAGGCTCCTAGTTGTCTCTTTCTGACAGATCCAGTGTTTGTTCATTCTCTGGGCTCTCATCCTCTTTGCTCTGTCCACAGTAAAATGATAGGGTGTAATTTATACATCTGGCAAGAATCCAGGTCTTTTGTGAGGTTGTCACCTGACCTCTTTGTGAAGTGTGGCCTGCAAGTCTGCTGCTGGGACTGGAGGACAGGGCAATCTGTTGTACCAGAGAGAGAAAATCAGAAGGCTGCCTAAAACGCTAGCTTTGGGAACTTTTATTTGCTTATTTTAGTTCAGTTCAAGTTCCAAATGTGCCCCTTGGACCAGGTGTCAAGACCTAAAATGTCAAGAGCTATGCAGACACTGGGACAAAGTAAGCCTAAAAGCAATGCTGGGAACTGAGTAAGAAAGTCTAACAATATTTGCATACTGTGGCTTCAGAGCCAGCATGCACGGTATTTAAGAAAGTTAACCTGTCATCTCAACATCAAGTATCAACAGAAGAGTCACAGTTCCTCCTGAAGCATCCTTGTGTTCTCATCCCAGGTGAAGGAAGTAGTTCTCTCTGGAATTTCCTACTAAGAACTTCACTTAACCTAGTGGAAAATACTCATTCAAGATTTGCATTCTAGAACTTAATCTCTCTTTTGGGGTATCTTAGGGGTAGTAGCAAACAGGTGTATGCAGTGTACATAGGTGAGTATGTATGGGGCCCCGAGTCATTTTAGGTGTTGCCTTCAGGATCTGTCTACTTTGTGTTTTGAGCTTTCTCATTTGGCCTAAAGCTTGCTAATTTGATTAGGATGGCTTGCCAGCAAGCCCCAGGAATGTGGCTATCTCTGCCTCCCCCATACTGGGACTGCGATTACACACCACCATACCTGACTCTGTAGATGGGTTTTGGTTATCAAACCCATGCTTGTACAGCAAGTTCTTTATTGACCTAGCTATTACCCAGTCTTTATTTTCCATTTTCCGAGGAAAAGTGCAAAAACATCACCCCTTTCTCTGTTTTCTTCTAAAGAGAAGGTTCAATATCAAAATCAAGAACTGACTAAAAAACAGGCATGTCTCAAATATTTCTGATTTAGCATCAATCTCTGTTTTGCCAGACCCTGGCTCCAAATCTCTGCTCTCTGGAGAGAAGTAGCATTTGGACACCCACCCCTTGGCTCAATATCACAACTCAAACTGACTCCTTTTAAAACAACCCTTAAACTTACATGGTAGGTATTTTATTTTTATATCTATTAATACTTTGTTTATATTCACTAATCAAAGCAAATATTTGGTTACTATGAGGGAACCTCATATGAGGTTATGAAACCCAAGCCTTTGCTCCCAGGAAGATTATAATACAGTGAAAGAAGAAAACATTCAGCATGACAAGAATTTACAGAAATAATTACAGATTTAACATTAGTAAAAGTCAGAGTGAAAAGCAGAAAAGAGTCATTCCTGTGGAAGACACCATGGTGAGACTTGAAGATTAGTAGAGCAGCCTGGGGTGAAGATCCAGAGCGGGATGTAACCCTTCTAGTGAGAAATTCCAGATGGGAGTAGCCATGCTGGGTTGGTAGGAAAATAGCCCAGATACAGCACAATTGGTCAGTGCAATATTGTAAAGGTCAAAGTTTTCACATGGCAAGTTAAAGAATCATAAGAAACAAACAAACAACAAACATCTAGAGTGTGCAGAACACTCTAGGACTTGCCTGAGATTCCAGCCAGGAATAAAGAAAGGAGAATGTCTAGAAATGAAGGTACCAAGGTCCATGGAGATGGGATAACATCGCCTAATGGTCCTATCTAATCCACCATATCCACTCATTTCTAGACTTAGGGAGTATTGTTTGATTAAAGATACATATTCAGAACACATTATCCAGCCACTATGTAGACAGGAACAAGAAAACATTTGGGGAGATTGAAGGGCCAGTCAATAATGTTGATGAAAGATACTGGACATGTGGAGCAAGGTAGTTAAAGAGAAGCAAAGGCACTTGAGATAGGAACACAAATGTGGAGACTGCTCAGGGGCTCAGTAATGGAGTTAGCACGTGCTTAATGAGCAAACATCCTTACACATTTTAAGATGGTTAGTAGCTGTGGGTCCTCCAAGCTGCAGCTGGCAAATGCAAGAATTTCAGGAGGAGCCACTGTTGAAAAGAAGCAGGGAGAAGGCAATGAGGTACCCCATAGTTATTCAGGTCTGGTTTGCAGTGCAGGAAGAAGTAAGAAAAAGATGAGTGACTGTGAGTCACCATGCAGAGGAACCTTTGAACTGTCCTTGTGTCACAGCTAGCCCACACAGTGGCCCCATATCCCTGGAATTTGTCTGTTCAGTGCTCCTGTCACAATCAGGCTGATAAAGTGATAGACTTAAGGACAGACTCTGGAGCTTTTAGTTAGAGTTCTTACATTCTCAAGGCCACCATGACTTTAAATACATACATTTTAGCTATTCAAGCTATAGGCCATTCTGGAGACTGCCCTGCAGTTAATGTAAGCTCTCCCATAACTTGCTATAGCTCCTGTGCTGCTCATTCTTTCTCACATTCTCTCTCTCAGGTTTCTATGTCTGGCATTTCTGCACCTTTTCCCCCTTTATGAATCTTCTCACTGTCAGAGAAACAAATTCACAAAATTTCCCTTTCTATGAAAAAATAAAGTATTTTCTTAACTTTCTATTCCCTGACATTTTTGAATCTTTTTAGTCAATTTTTTGGACAAGTTATTTTTCTGGCCTCAAGAAGCAATCTCAGATTCCCTGTCTCATCCTTCAGTTTCTACATGGGTGAGCGCACCTCAAAAGATAGCATCATTTCCTCTTGTCCTAGCTGTGAAGAAAGAGGCTGTTTACCTACTTGCCTTTTCAGAATCCCTACTTCCTCATCTTGAGAATGATCAAACAACACTTTTGAGGTTAAATTGGCTCATTTTAAGTGTGAAGAAACATGGTTTTACCTTATCAAAGTGGGAAGTTTGTTTGAAAGATAGTCTCAAAATATTCTTTTTTAAAAAGAATGTTTCTAAATCTCAGACAGTTAATAAATCACACCCCAACTCTGAAGCAAATAATAATTTCATAGTCAAACATATTCTTTTTTCCAAAAAATATTGTCATCAATGCAATAATGTCTCACATTTATCTATTATAAATAGGAAGGGCTATTAATTAATTTAGCTCTTTCCTCTGTGCTTGCATATTGCTTGCTTTGGAAATTAAAAAGTCAGTCTTTTTCTTGAGTACTGGAAATAACCACAAGCTGATTGCTGTTTGAGGTTATCTGATGCTGCACTATTTCTGCTTTTAATGAGTGTTGTGTCTCATGGCCTGTGGCCTCTTTCCTTAGAACCAGTCTTTCCTCATTCGGTTGTGTCCTATTCTGTGTCTCTCAGGCAGCTAGGCTTCTTTCCTTTATCTTTGGGAATCTTCTGTTTAATATTTCTTTTTAATTCTTGAGGCTTTCATACTTGTGTACGGTATGAAACTCAAAAATATTTATGCTCATTTTCCCCTCAGACTCTCCCAGATGCCTCCCCAAATGGGTGGGCCCTCCCAACTTCATGTTGTTGTTTCTATTTCTGTTGTTTTATACCTCATTGAGCTGAATTTGCAGTGCCCTTACCTGTATGGACTATGCACTGGAATATTGAAAACCTTCTAGTATCTGGGCATGCTAAGCAGAAAAAACAAAGTATAGTTCTTCATCAGGTTTCTCATTGCCACAATGGAAGGACGGTGAATACATACAAGTAATGAGGAAACAATGGTGAAGTTGCTGACTGACCTCAGTCTGCTTCTGGTTTTTCCTGGCATGGGTTCTTGGGTTCATTCCATTCTAAGTCTTGACTTGGAGTCAGATGGTTTTTCTCTGGAAGTGTGAAGTGAATACCCGCCTATACTTATCTTATTTACCTTAAACCTCTCCTAGATTTATGCTTACCATGAATTCAGCATGCCATTAAATGTTCGCTGAGCCCTGTCCTTGTGAAACCTGTTTGTTTTGAAACCCTGCCGGCAGGCAGCACAGTAGAAGCGTGCACTTTTCTGTCCCCAGGGTTTGTCCTTATTAGGAAGGGCCTCAACTTCACATTCAGTTCTTTTTGTTGAGAACCAACTCCCAGCCTGTAGTGGGAAGAAACTTACCATTTTCATTTAAGTACTTTCTTAGTCCCCTTCAGCCTCCTTAAATTCTCTTGTCAGTTTTTTTTTTTTTTTTTTTTTTTTTTTTTTTCCATGCCTTAAAACACACCTCACATGCTTGGTTTTTCTGGAGCTTTCTCTTCAGTTGTGATATTCTTTTCCAGTAAGTTCTGAGTAGTAGAAAATAACTTTTCCCCCATCCCCTTTCATCTACCTCATTGAGACTGAACTTCAGAGAAGACCAACAGAACACTGAAAAGTGTGTTGGCTATTGCCTGGCTCACAACTTAACTTCAGATGGATCAAGGACCTGAGCGTAAGGCCAAATACTTGAACGTGCTAGAAGAAAAAGTGAGGAATAAGCTTGAACTAGCTGACATGGGGAAAGAATTTGAACAGGACACTGATAGAGCAGGCATTAAGAACAACAATTAATAAATGGGACCTTGTGACACCGAGAAGCTTCTCTATGGTAACAGAGAACATCATCAGACAAAGCATCAGGGTACAGGCTTGGAAGAGATCCTTACTAAATTTTATATTTGTAATAGAGAGGTAGCGTCTAGAATATATAAAGAAGTAAAAAAAATCCTAAACTTTTGGAAAACAAATAATCCAACTTAAAAACAGGGTATGGATCTAAACAGAAAATTCTGAAAAGATGAAAAACAAATCACTAGGCAACACTTAAAGAAATGTTCATGGCATTTAGCCACCAGGGAAAGCAAATTAAAACTACTTTGAAATTTCATTTTACCCTAGTCAGAGTGGCCATGCTCAACAAAATGAGTGAAAAGATGCTGGCAAGGATGTGGAGAAGGGAAACACTTATTCATTGCTGGTAGGAGTGACAACTTGTCCAGCCACTATGAACACCAGTGTGGTAGTTCCTCAGGAAGTTGAGAAGAAATCTACTGCGAGATCCAACGATATCACTGTTGATCAAATATCCACTCTGCATCTTACTACGGAGATATTGTTCATCCATGTCTACTGCTGCTCTATTCATAATAGCAAGAAATTTGGAAAAGCTTAGATGTTCATCAACTGGTGAGTGGATAATGAAAATATGGTACATTTATGCAACAGAGTATTGCCTGGTGCTTAAAAAAAATGAAATTATGAAAATTCCAGGTATGTGGATGGAACTACAAACAATCATCTTGAGAGAGGTAACCTAGACCCAAGAAGACAAATATCACATTTCATCTTTTCTGTGGATGTTAGCTTCTTAGGTTTTGATATGTGTGCTGTAATATGAATAACGACGAGGTTATATACCTAGTTAGGGACCAGAGAGGACATGAAGATCTCCCAAGGAAGGAGAAATATAGTGTTATGGAGAGGTAAAGGAAAAACTGGAGTTGGAGAATTAAATTTGGAGGGAAATGGTAGGGTAGGGTAAAGGAGGGAATGAGGGAACAACTAACACTAAAAGTCATTTGAAAACCAATTTTTAGATTCTTATTTTGAAAGGTATGTTTACTTTTATGTGTGTGAATGTTTTCCCTGCTTGTGAATAAGCTCGTATTTTTGCCTGATGTTCATGGAGCTGGAAGAGGGAGCTGGATTTCCTGGAACAGGAACGACAGACTGTTGAAGGATGCCATGTCAGTGCCGGGGACCTACCTGGATCCTTTGTAAGAGCAGCAAATATTCTTAACTACCAGCTCTCTAGGCCCCTTGAATTTATGTTTTTGTTTTGTTTTGTGTTTTGAGATAAAGTTTCTCTGTATTGCTTTGGAGCCTGTCCTGGAACACCCTCTGTAGACCAGGGACTCATAGAGATCCTCCTGCCTCTGTCTCCTGAGTGCTGGGATTAAAGGCATGCACCACCAACACCTGGCTCCCTTGAAAATTTTTTGAAACTTTATTTTCTATCTTTCCTCCAGTTATACAAATCATCCTGTTTAAAAGGGTTCAGAGCAGGACTCTTTTTTTTTTTTTTTTTAATTTTTCTTATTTTACATATCGATACCAGTTCCTTCTTCCTCCCTCCCTCTCTCTTTCCCTCCCTCCTTTCTTGCCTTCTTCCTTCCCTCTCTCCCTCCATGTCTCCATCCCTCTCTCCCTCCCTCCCATGCCCCCCAACCACCCTCCCATCCCACTGCCCCCCCCACTCCACAGGGAGGATGGTGCCTTCCAGGAGGGACCATCTAAATCTGTCAAGTCATTTGGAGTAGGGTCTCGGCCCTCCCTCCTGCCTCTAGGTTAAGGGAGTATCCCTCCATGGGGAATGTGCTCCCAAACTCCTTTTGTGCACCAGGGATACATCCTGGATCTACTGTCAGAGGTCCCTTAGACTGCCCAGGCCTTCTAACTGGGACCCATATTCTGGGGGCCTGAGTCAGTCCAATGCTGATTTCCCAGCTATCAGTCTGGTGTTCCATTAGCTCCTCCTTGTTCAGGTCAGCTGTCCCACAGCAGGACTCTAAATATTAGCACATGTATCTAATTAGGTTCAGAGAGTTCTGATCATGTCTACTTCCCAAATTAACCTAATGGTAGCATTTGAGGGTTAAAAGAACAGACCAGGGCATATGAAGATAGGAAGGGAGTTTTAGAGTCTTTCAAGTTACAGTATGACTCGTGGAAGTGGTTTTCGGTGTTGAGGTAAATGTTATCAGTGTGGGGCTTTGGAAATGTTTCCTGTTGCTTTTTCAGCCTGTTCAGAGCCTTCTGGAGGTTTCTATTTGGCTCCTTCTACCTTTGGCCCATAGCTCAAGGACTTCTGTATAAGTCTAGGGTTAATTCTCTCTTTCCATAAAGATTATATATTTGGAGATTCCCTTTTTATATTTTTTTCAGAAGGAAAAATTAAAGTCTTTTCATCTAAGTGAGATTTACTTAAAACAATACTTAACATTTTGAAAATACTTAGATGAAAAGACATAAGTTCTTCCCCCTGACATATGGAGAGCAGAAAGTAAGCAAACCCATTTGGCATATGGGCCAATAAAACACGGTATGCTGGTAACTCAATCCTCATGATCAATTTTATAGTTTCTGTGGAAGTGGAAATTTGCCACTCTAAATATTTCTAATTATGTTTTCATTGGTATTTTTTATTGGTCAGTTTAAATAGTCTAAGAAAATGTTTCTCATTGCCAATATCACAAGGACACATATAATGTCAGATATGTGACAAGTTCTTTGCCATTCTTCTACTTTATTTGGTCTTTGAACTCATAAGATATGGAGCAGGAGGAAAGCCTGTATAATAGGTTAAACATAGTGATTCTTTTTGAAGGTTTTTTTTTCCTTTTCCAAAACCTGCACCAAAATTCTTTTCAGTTAATAAATGGACTCATCTATCTCAGGATAGACGTGCACATTCTAGTAAAGAGACTTTGGCCGTATTGATGTTTCATGTGAGGAATTTTCTTGCTGTGAGGCCTCTAGGCATTGCAGGATATTTCCCAGTGTTCAGGGTCTAGAATCATTCACAGATAATTACCATCCTGATCTTGCTAAGTATAACAGCCAAAAACTTCTCCAGAATTTTGCAAACTCCCTGGCAAGGAAGTTCTATTGCAATGTACAAAGAGGATAGGCTAGGCCGTCCGAGAAACCCAGAAGGTGGCTTTTTTCCCACTTGCCCTCACTCTTGCTGGCAGGTGCATGGATCCGGTTGTCTAGGCATTTAGCCTCTGGAATTAGAACTTACTAATTCAGGATTCCAACATAGGCTGAAGACTGGCAGCTATCTGGGACCTGTCTGGGATTCTAGCATCCACCTTGGGACTGCTGAGATGTCCAGTTTTATGGATTAAACAACTACCAGATCCTTAGTCTTTCCATTGGGAAATAGTCATTGGACCACAACCTGTAAGCCACTATGATCTTACACACACACACACACACACACACACACACACACACACACACTGTTCCTCTAGAGGATTCTGACTAATACAATTGCTAAGAAATCTCCTTCCCACTTCTCTCTAATTTGTTAAGGCAAGATTATATATAGGGTGGCTCAGGAGGTGCCTTAGATAGGATGATGGGATTGCAATCAGATCAAGTATAATCAGTGGCCACTAGGGTTGCATAAATGTTTAGGACAGTGTTTTACTGTAAGCAGAGTTTAGGGTAAAATTCTTAGAAACCTGACAGTTTATAAGCGGAGAAAGGCCTTATGTAATTGTTAATTATTAGAATTCTTTTTTTAAGGAGTCTGGCTGTGGTAGGCCTTCGCCCTGTAAGTCCATGGCAGGTGCTATAATTGGATCTCACTGTCTGAGTGAGCCTGCCCCATTAGTCTGTGTACTTCACAAGTGTTTCTCAGACTTTCTCCTCAAGTAATACAAGTAGGCTGAGACACACAAGAGGATTTTTCTTCTGTATTTTCTGTATTTACCATAAGAATGTGATGGGGGTCCTGAAGGTAGAAACAAAGCAATATGCCTCAGAGAGTTTTTAAACTCTCAACTTAGTCTGCAACCTCTCACTATTACTGGCTTCAGCCTCGGGTGAACTGATCTGCATTCTCTACACAGTTTCCCTAACATTGTGTCTTCAATTATCCAGGGTTAACTATGGTCCAACTACATTACTCAGAAAAAAAATAAGTATTGAACAATTCTTGAGTTTTAACATGCACACTGCTTTGAGCACCAGTATGAAACCATGTTCTCCACCCTACCAGGGATGCAACCATCCTACTCCTAAACCTTTCAGTAGCCATCCTGGTCTAAACCGTAATCAGAGGTATATGCATATAGGAATATGGGACAGCATGCTATGTGTAGAGGTGGTACTGTCCATGGTTTTATGAAGCTTTGGGGTGAGTCACTGTGAATAATAAGTGGCTGGTGTATTCATTAGCCTCTTGAGTTTTCAGGGTGTTTGTTCATGTAGTGGTCATAGACCTATGACAGATCTAAGGACAGCTACTGATTTTTCATTCTCTTTGCTTTGATTTTGTTACTGTACTGAGAAGAGAGACAAGGCTAAGGTTTGTGTGGTTTTTGTTTTTACATTTAAACAAATAAGGAACTATGCAGACTTAAATTCACACAAGAATTTCATGGTCGTAACTTCTAAATGCACTGTTTCTTTGAGATAACACAATCTATTTTTTAACATATATAATCCATCACTTCACCCCTTTTTCTGGCTTCCTTTTTTTTTTTTTTTTTTTTTTTAGTTTAACCCAATTAGTCTTCCCCCAAATAAAAAAGGAATGCAGAACTACCTAAATGAATCTAAAACTTAGTGGACAGGTACCAGTGCCTAGAACCCTTGTCACATCCACCCCACGATAGGGAGGTACTCTGAGATTAGATGTGGAAGAGGTTGATCCCGTGCCTCAGATAGTCACTACTTAAATCCAGGCATTTGAGGTTACACAGGAGGAAGTAGAAGGCATATCCTGAGAATACTTGTTCTCGTCTCCACAACACCACCTCCCCAAACCATACATTTCAGTTCTAACTCTTGGTACCTGTGAAAGTGTCCTTACGTGGAAGCAGGGTATTTTGAGACATTGTTAAGTTATGGTGAAGTCATACCTGAATAGGGCTGTTAGTTCCCTGCATCCTTATAAGAAGAGACCCACACATGTCATGTACTCTGGTAGTAGTTGGAATAAAGCAGCTACAGGCTAAATAGAGCCTAAGACTGTTGGCTAGTACCAATCTGAACAAGGCAAGGAAAGATGCAGGAACTGTCAGAGAAAGCCTACAGATACACCTTGGATTAAGGTTTCTAGCTTCCATAGCTGAGATAATACATATAATAAATGTCTTTTGTTTTAAGTTTAAGGGAATATGTCACAGTAACCCCCAGGGAATGAATGAAGCCATGTAACACCATGCCCTAGCAGGTTATCTTTCTGCTTGTGTTTGTGAGGTCTACCCAGTTATTAATAGACCAGACCACTCAGGCCAAAGCAAACCTTCATTCCACCTTGCTGTTTGTTTAGGAGCATTTGAACAAAAGTAATCAGAACAACAGGGCTGGAGGAATGGCTCAGAGCAGCCATGTTCAAACCCAAAAGGGAACACGTGAATCCCATGTGGAACATATTGGGTAATAACTAAAGAAAAGTAAATATATACTTACTTTTTTCTCACTTGCTTGCTTGAATGTTCTACCTTTATAACCTTATATGAATAATACATTATCAACAAGTGCAAAATCCTGTATCTATTACTAAAAATGTACCCTTTATTCTCTTCCAGGCATGGTACTTATTGCATAAAGATAACGCAGTTAGCAGTGTATATGTGGAAGGTTGATTTTTCCCCCCTGTAGAGTATTTCTGCCATTTCTCTCAAGGGTCGAAGATGAAACAGTAGGAGTGTGTTTTGGAATAAACAGTATCAGAAATAAAAGGTAGCTTTGTGTTAAGCTGTATGATAACACTTATAGTAAAGAACATTTGCAGCAGCTGTCACTAGACATGTGTTTTCACTTAAGTCTCCAATAAAATAAGCCATTATTTTATTTCTTTTACTATTTGAAGTTATAATTACATAATTCCCCCATTTCTTTCCTCCCTCCAATCTCTTCCATATACTCCTCCATGCTGTCTTTCAAATCCATGGCCTCTTTTTCACTAATTGATGTATATACATCTGAGTGCATGTATCTACTATAAGTACAATGTGCTAGGTCTGTATAATATTACTTGTATGTATTCAGAACTGACCATTTGGTATTGAATAACCAATTAGTGTGCTATTTCCTGGAGGAGACTATTTATCCCACTCCCTGCATTCCTTAGTTGCTTGTAGTTCTTTGTGTAGGATTGAGGCTCCATGGTCTTTCCTCCATCTACTTTAGGACTTTAATGTTTCACCTGTGATAGAGATTATGTCCCAGAAAAGATCTGTAGGATTACATAGGAAAGTTCCTTTTGAAACATAAAGGTTGTTTAGATACAGTACTCCTTTAGTAGAGAAGATAGCAGGAAATCTAAAGATCCATTAAAATATGTAAACTAGCCATGCTTTGATATTGGGCCTGCTTCTGTAACTAATTCCTAGGGATGTGGAACAACTCCCTTTCTCTTCCATGGGTTTTATCAGTAACTCATTACCTCACCCACCTCTTCTGTTGTGCACTTAGTCTTGGCTATTGTTCTCTCCACCTGTTCTAGTCACCACAGGGCCAAGTAACACACACCTAGGAGAGCTCCTCTCTCCCAGAGTACAATGAACCAATTTAAGTCAGCCAATCTTAATATACTTTGAAATTTTTATTTTGTTCATATACATGTGTGGTTTGTGTATGTGCTAGCAGGTATGTTTCTTCATTGCTCTATATCTTGTATGCTGAGTCAATGTCTCTCACATGAACCCAGACCTTTTCAACTCAGCTAGTGTAACTAACAAGCCCCTAGGGCACATGTTCTCTGTCTCCTTAACTCTGGTCACCATGCTAACTGGGAATTTACATGGCTGCAGAGGATGAAAATGCAGATGAACATGCTTGTGAAGCAAGTGCTTCACTTTGGGCAACTCCTCCATCTCTAAAGTTTCACACACTGCCTTGTGAACCCCTTCAAACAGAAACCACAGTTGACCTCATAAGAAACATAACTGGCCTCATAATCTTTGGTATAGTATACTCCCTTCTCTTCTATATATGCAGCCTTCTATATATGTAGTCATGTGCTCAGTGATCATCTTTGCCTGATCCACTGGCCATACCATATCTGAATAATTTTTTTTTAAAAAGAGTATGTGAACGTCAAGGTGAGGAACAAAGAGACCATTCATTCAGGTTTCTCTGGAGCAGGTGTAAAGCATACATGCATTGGTGCCTAAGGAATGTTCTTAGGGTTTTGCTTCTCTGTACCTCTCTTGCAAATAATAGTGCAATTCATTGATTGCAGAAGAGCTATAGCATAGTCTTGAGGGCAAGACTTCAGTTCCTCTGTGTTTCCTCATAGCCTTCCCTAGTCAGTACTAGCTGGGACATTTGTACAGGGGAGATCTCTTGTAAATAAGAGAATACTCTAATCAAGGTCTGGTGACCCTGAAGACACAAGCACAGAGAGATAACAGGATTGTATTTATAATTTGGAAGTAAAGTGTCAAAAGCAAAAAAGACCATGTGTTGAGCCATCATGGTGCGCATGAACAGTGGTAAAAGTTTCCTGTTTGAGATCATGGCTTTATGGTCTTATTGGAAGATTGAGTTGCTAGCTTGTTTTATTTAGATCAGAAGAAGTTGTGGGCAGTGATTCACCCTATCACATTACACTGGCAATAGCATGTGGTCTGAAAGTATCACCTTTCTCAGATACCTTAGATCCAAGCTACTGCAAGAGTGTTTACTGGTGGGAGAGAAAGAATGACCTTTTGGCAGCCCATATCCCTAAAGAGGAGTATCTGACCTCATATCCTGTCACCAGGGTGCTCTATAACTCATACACATAGCCACAGGAATGCCAGTGATGATATACCCTGCATAACATGGGTGGCAGATGTGATGATATATTGTTTATGATCTAATAAAGCTTGCCCAGAGATCAGAATACAAAGCTAGCCACAGCTGTAGAATTTGGGTGGTAGTGGCATACACCTTTAATCACAGGACCCAGGAGACAGAGACATGAGTTCAAGGCCACCCAAGGCTACATGAGAGTGAATCAGTCTAAAAGAGAAATAGAGTTCACACCTTTAATCCCAGCACCAGAGAGGTATATAAGACAGGAACAGGCAGTCAGTCTTGGGCAATTAGTCTCCAACCACAGTGAGGTCAGTATCTTCCCAGTCTTGGTAGAGGTAGGAGCTCTCTGGTTGCTGGCTGCTTTGCTTTTCTGATCCTCAGCTTGAATCCCAATATCTGTCTCTGGACTTTATTATTTATGTTACAGGCAGAGGTAGAGGGAATGGGAAAAAAAAGAGCTCTTAAATGTTGAGAAAAGTCCTGTGTCCAGTTTTCTTTTGTTTCTTCTTATTTCAGGTGTTTTCTGATGGAGAAAAAAACATTTTGGGATCTGGTAGAGAAAGGAAGATGGAAAATACTGGAGGTTAAATTACATTCATTAATGAAGATAGTAAATAAGAAAAATATCTTACACAGTGTGAAGACTGATTTTATGGGACATGGGAAGAGTTCAGATTGAGGCCATCACTGGTCAGTCTACATAAAGCCTACATCACCTTTCTGTTCATACAGATTAGTCCCTCTGTACCTATCTGAGAATCACAGGTATCATGAAAAACAACTATGCACTAGAATCACTGCCTGGTGACAAAATGCTGCTGAGGTTGAGAGGGCAAATGCCCCACTTTAGAGGTATGGGCTGTCAGGTGTTCCTGCCCCACCCCCACCCCTACCCCCATTGAACACTCTGGTAGTGTCTGGAATCCGAGGTAGTGTGGTGGGGGGGAGGGTCAAAGGTTCAAAATGGGCCTGAGACAGCTTTGTGTGTATACCCTGAGAGGTTGCAGCTAGCTTTGCCCTGGTTCTCTACTTAGAGAAGACTGGGGTCTTCCAGCCTTTTTCTTCTTTATAGTTCTCAATTTCCTCCTATGCATTCCAACATCTTGAAGCCATCTTTGAAGAAACTTGTGGGTTTAATAATGTTTCTTATGGGCCCTTTTTTCATTACTTCAACAGAAAAAGACAGCTCATGTGTGGCCGAAGATTACTAGTTGTATCTACTTTGATAATGCGACATTAGCCCTCAACTGTTTGTGTCTTTGGGTAAGTAACAACAACAACAACAAAAATCTCATACTAGAAGACAGATGCCACAGCTCCAAACATCACTTCCTTATTAACACTATCTGAGCATATCTTTATGTTTTTGATAGAATAAGAACAAACATAAAATGTAAAAACAAAAACCATAGCACAATGTGCTTCAAGTGTGTACTGAGAACTAACAAAGCCACTAGGCAGAATGGAGCATTCTGTAAGATGTCTCCTTCTTATCATACTGAAAATGCCTTGTGTTGATAATAACAAACTGAAGTACAACAATTCTTAAACACTTTTTTTTTTTTTAAAGCCCCAGCTGGACTTGAACTCACAAAAATCCTGCCTTTGCCTCCAAAGTGCTAGGATTAAAGGTGTATAACATCATGCCAAATCCAAACACATTTCTTAAAGAAATGTTGGCTGGCAGTTTGGGAGAGTAATACAAAACACTAAAGTTTTGCAATTTAAGCAATCTGTGATGATTTCATGGGGCTCTGGATGCTTTTTTGACCTTTAAGAGTAAGCTTTCCTCAAATGCCTCCCAATTCTAGTAATCTCTCCAAGTACTTTCTCCATAGATCTGTGCCTAGCCCAATTGTCATCAAAGAGGCTACATCTGGTAGCTGATGAGAACAAATGAACATAACCACAGCAAAACATTAGGTGGGGAGAGAGCCTGTGGTAGTTTGAATGTAATTGGCCTCCATAAGCTTATAGGGAGTGGTACCATTAGGAAGTATGGCTTTGTTGGAATACGTATGACCTTGTTGGAGGAAGTGTGTCATGCTGAGGGCAGGCTTTGAGGCTTCCTATGCTCAGGATGCTGTCCAGGACATCAGTCCATTTCCTGTTGCCTTTTGATCAAGATGTAGTCAGAACCATGTCTGCCTGCATGCCACCATGTCCTTGCCAGGATGAAATGTGAATCTAAGCAGATGTTTAATAAATGCTTAGCGCATTTAGATAGATCTCATAGAAATGGCCCACCATTCTATTGAACAGAGCTATTCACACTTAAACAGCAACCACAGGTTATATTTGTTCAAAACGTGTGAGAATTACCTTCCAGGAATGCTACACAAACATTTTATGTGACATACTTAAATGTAATTGTACAATTTCAAATTCCATATCTTTGCCATAAGAAACAATAACACATTTGTTTTATGTTGAGTTTTATGTTTCTTAGGTAAGCAAATGCTAATGTGAAGACCTTCTATAACAGTGGTTCTCTACCTGTGGGTTGCAATCCCTTGGGGATCCAATGACCCTTTCACAGGGTCCACCTGAGACCATCTGAAAACCCAGATATTTATATTGCTATTCACAACAGTAACAAAATTATAGCTATGAAATAGCAACAAAAATAATTTTTTATTGTTGAGGGTTATGGCAATGTTAGGAACTATATTAAAGGGTCACAGCATTAGGAAGATTGAGAACCACTATTATAAAACATATTAAGTTGTGGTGCAAATATTCTGGCAAATGTGTGGATAGCAACCTAGAAACTCTATTTGTGTGTATTTTTATATTACAGAGGTCAAACTAAAACTTTTAACTCCTCCCCCATGTGTGTGCATGTGTTATAGTTTGAGTCTGGAACGTTTCCCTCAGGCTAATGTTTTTATTGCTTGTTGCTTGGTCGTCAGCTTCCAGCATTCTTGTGAGGATCAGAGTCTTCAGGAGATGGAACCTGAATACCAAAATCAAGTTTCTGGGAGTTGGACTTTGAAAGTTATACCACTACTGGTTCCAATCAGGTATTCTCTGTTCTAGCACACAACCATGTGAACACGCTACTGCCCCACATCCCACGCCATGTGATGGACTGAACTCTACTGAAACTGAACCCAGATCAATCACCCCATCCCCTGGTGCCTTGTTTCTGTCATGCACTTTGTCACACACAGTGATGCAAAAGTAACACAAATATACTCTGTTTTCTTTTTCAGTTATTTGTCTAAAAGTGAGGATGCAAAGATGACAATATTTCAGACAAAGAGATGCCAAAATATTTTCGTAAGCAAGGGAATATGAACTGGCCCTCGTATTCAGGTGCCTTCTTAATATCAGTTTCGTTTAAGCCACCAGAGAAACATTTGCCACAGCTAAATATATAGGCAATTATTTAAACTCCCATGGAACCTTCTCTAAATCCTAGAGACACTGCATGGAGAGGAAAGCTCCCACTACGATATCATTGTTGGAACCTGTATTTCTCATAAATCCTCTGGCCAGCAGACATTTAGAGCACACTACTTATTCAGAACAAACATCCTATTATTTTATTTTCTCAGAATTGAGATAATAGAGAAAAGATGCTTACATAAACAAATATAGTATTCTGTTTTGTGTTCCCCTCCTAAGAGATGCTGGTTTCCTTTTGACACCTAAATTGCCTTTTTCCCCCTCCCTGTCCTGCTGCATTCAAAACAAGCCTTTTTATATTTTTATTGAAATATCTCATTAAATTTTCATCATAATACATTGTAAAAAGTATTTTCCTCTCAAATACATGTTTGGAATTGCTTGCCTGGCTGTTCCATACGATAGATAGGCATTGTTTTAAATATAAGTAGATTCCCTTCAGTTTCCCTACAATAATGGTGTTGTAGACTGAATTGTGCTGCTTTCCTACCAACATGAGAAACTCTAACTTTGGTACTCAGAACATGATTGTACTGGAGATAGGGAGTTTGAAAGGTAACTATAGTAATTGAAGGTACATAGATTAGATTCTAAGTGGGTGACCTGATGAGGCAGGTGTCCTCATGAGAAAATGAGCTTAGGACACAGATGTCACCAGAAGAGCAGAACAGAGGAAATGTGGAGAAGACAGCCAGCTATAAGCCAAGGAGGAGTCCTTTCTCCTTTAAACAATGATACTATTTATCCCATTTAATAATCATACAAAACAAATATTCCTAATGATATAATATTCTCTAGATATACTCTACTTTTTTTTTCCTGCACAGAATACCTCCCAGGGTTACTTATGTTTGTTTTTTCCAATTGCAAGAGCAAGTTCTTTTTTTTTATTTTCAAAAACATGTATTTTGACTATTTTGTTTACATATAGCACAAAACCAAAGTTAAATGCAAAGTAATGGAGGACATTCATTTTCATTATGCTTTATTAGTTTTTTACATAACTTAGAATTTCTGAATTATATTTGCAAATTCAACACATTAACAAAGATAAAGTGAAGAGCAAGTTCTTATAAACCCATAGTCCAACCACACCATGGTCCCATCCTTCCAACTCCAGACTTGTGAGATACTGAATGTCTGCTGCTTGAGTTTCTCAGTATGTAGAAATTAATACAACAGTGAAGAATAAAGGAGTCATAGACTATAATAGAGGCCATTTGCAACTCAGAGTCAAGACCAACAACCGAACTGAACACATGAGCCCAACTTTAAATGCCAGTTCAAAATCAGGAAGCAGATTAAAAGCAATAAACAACTTCATCTATGTTTTCTCTCAAATTTGCTTGCTGTCCTTCCCTTTGACAATGATAATTTTTTAAGCATAAGAAAACCTGTCTGAGGGATGTAAAGAGGCAAACAGCTGAATGAAGGAATTCTGGCTTTAACAAAGGTGGAGGTTTAAATGACAATGCATCCAAAGGCTCATGTATTTAAACTTGTGATTCCTGGTCACTATCCCTATTTGAAGATGATATGAAATCTTTAGATTGTGGAGCATTGTTCAGGGAAGCATGTCACTGAGGGCAGACTCTGAGAGCTTATCACTAGGCAATGCAGCAAATAGAAATTTAGCATCTCACAATGTTGGAGGCTGGTACATTGATACCAAGTGGAGAAGGGCTCATGGTCTTGTAAGACATTTCTCTTTGACTTATAGTTGACCACATTCTCCTTCTATCTTGCACGGCTTCTCTTTGGGTGACATCTGTGGCCTAAACTCATATAGCCTTGCCCACTTTCAGTTTGCTCTTTTGGCTTCTTGTGTGATGAAGAGTGATCAGCCACCTTCCTGTTCTGTCCACCTACTTCTATGCCTCCCTCACCATTATGGACTTCCCCTCTGGAACCATAAGCCAAAATGCGCTTTCTTATACAAGTTGCAACTAGTCATGATATTTTATGATAGCAATGAAAGTAACCAGTACAAGAGGGATGTCCCAGTACATCACACACAAACCTAACTTTCATGGAACAAGAACAACACCAGCCAGAAAGTTAATGCTGATTTCAACACTGAAGAAGAAAGTTTACTTTTTAGTCCTCTGAGCATTATGCAAGCACACAGAAAAGGACAGCGTTAAAGTCTAGTCTACGTGACTAGACTCCCCTCTTCATAATATACACATTTTAATCATTATACTTTGTCGGTGTGTTCCAGAACAAAGGAATATAATTGTGAAATCATTATTTATTTCAGTATTTTGGGTATGATTTATTAATGGCCTCAGACTTAGGAACATACCAGATTAAGGTAACAATTTGAGATTTCAACTTTGAAACAAACCAACCACCTTGACAAAGCAAAAACTCTTTTTCACATTTACAATGAATTTAATATCAATAACCAGTTAACCAGTGCCAAGCTTATTGACACTGATTTGAGAGAGGGTGATAATCTAATAATTTGCAAAGCTGTAATGATAACTAACCAATATTAAATGCTGTGCAGAAGCTATCACTGTAATTTTATTCACACAGCTTTTAGTGAAAGTGTTGTTTGTCCATTCTCAGGATGAAGAAACTGGTTTCCTGAGAAGATAAGTAGCCTCTTTCTTCACAGCTAGGATAGGAGGAAATGACAACATCTTCTGAGATGCACTCAAAAGTTAGATAAAGATTAAAAGACAAGGTAGGACATTTAAGGTTATTTGTTTACCTAAATCAAACTTTTCAGTGAAAAATAACTAACTTCCATAAGAATTTCAGAGAATAAAACATTAAGAAAATACTTATTTTTTTCATGAAAACAATCTTGTGAGTTTGCTTCTCTGGCAGTGAGAAGATTCATAAGAGGAAAAAAAGAGAAGTGTTGAAATGTCAGAAACCTGGGAGATACAATCTGAAAACAATGAAATCAATGTTCTATTACAGTACTGCAATGTCTTTGTTAGACTCCTCCGCTACAGCAAGTTACAGGAGACCCTGCAGTCACTGCAGAGTATTCTCGGGGATAATCTACAGCCCAAATAGCTAAAATGTGTGTATTTAAAGGCATGGTGGCCTTGAGAATGTAAGAACTCTAGCTAAAGCAATGTGATAAACCAACCACCCCAGGTTCTGTTCTTAAATTTATCACTCTGCCTACCAGACTGTTTGTGGCAGGAACACTGAGCAGAGACATTCCAGAGAGATGGGCCATGACACAAGGACCCTTCAATGGCTCTACTGCAGCCTGGTCCATGCATCTCTTGCTCTCATCTTGAATCCAGGCCAGATCTGCATTCTATGTTACAGCTTGCCCAGCCTTCTCTGCTCTTTGCCTGTTTCCTTTCCTTAGATGTGCCTCCTAATGAAATCTTTGTGTGATTAATTCTGTCTGCCACCTGCAGCTCAGAGGATCAGCATCTGTTTGACTAAAGATTTTCAAATGTGTCTATGAACTTGTGTAAAAACACAGCCTGCTAGCAACATGACCAAATTCTCAAGCAGTTTTTGTAATTTTACACTTTTATCTCAAGCATCAGTATTTCTTTAAGCCAGCCTGCTGTCATTTGCTCTACATGTCCAGGACCTTTCATGAAAACCATTGAGCAGTCCCAGCCTGTCTCCCAAATATGTCTCATGGCCAGGCCACTTTCTTGTCAATTCAATGTGGCTCCCATCTTTTTTTAATATTTATCAATATTTATTATAAATTGAACACCAACCTACTTTCTTTTTCACTTTTCCTCTTTAGTTTTATTATTCTTGTTTTTTATTTAAATTAGAAACAATCTTATTTTACATGTCAATCCCAGTTCCCTCTCCCTCCCATCCTCCCATGTGCCCCCCCCCAATTCCTCCCATCCACTCCCCAGGGAGAGTGAGGCCTTTCATGAGGGATCATCAAAGTCTGTCACATCATCATTTAGGGCAGGGCCTAGCCACCCCCTCCAACCCCATGTATTTAGGAAGAGAGAGTATCTTTCCATGGGAGACTGTCCCTTTGAGCACTAGGGATAAATCTTGGTTCTACTGCAAGAGACCCCATAGATTGTCCAGGCCTCCTAACTGTCACCCACATTCAAGGGGCCTGGTTCAGTTCAATGCTGGTTTCCCAGCTGTCTGGCTGGGATCCATGAGCTTCCACTTGGTCAGGCCAGATGGTTTCTCCAGCCTGGTCTTGACCCCTTTGCTCATCACTTCTCCCTCTCTATAACTATTCCAGGAGTTCAGCTCAGTGTTTAGCTGTGGGTGTCTGCTTTGGCTTCCATAAGCTACTGGATGAAAGCTCTAGGATAGCATATAAGGTATTCATCAATCTCATTATAGGGGAAGGGCATTTAAGGTACCTCTCTACTATTGCTCATATTTTTAGTTGGGGTCATCCTTGTGGATCTCTGGATATTTTCCTAGTGCCCAACTTCTCTCTAAACCTATAATGGCTCCCTCGATTAAGGTACCTCTTCTCTTGCTCTTCTCTTTTCCTCCCCTGACTTCCTGATCCCTTACGGTCTTCCCCCTCCTCTTTTCCCCTCCTTTTTATCCTACTCTCCTCACCCTACCCTGTGCTCAAGAGCTCTTGTCCCCTTTCCCCTTCTCTGGGGGAACCATGTATGTTTCTTTTGGGGTTCTCCTTGTTTCTTAGCTTAAAAATATGGAATGCTTCATGAATTTGCTTGTCATTCTTATTAAGGGGCTATGAGAATCTTCTCTGTATTGTTCTAATTTTAGTGTATGTGCTGCCAAAGTGAGCACGTGGTTCCATCTTGAAGGACTACATAGAAAGGATTCCTCCTGCTCTGGGTTTTTGACTGGGCTGTTCTATTGATCATCAAGTCTCATTACTGTCTCTTCCACAGCAAAGACTCTCTTCCACTTTTCACCTTAACTTTTAATGAATAATAAATCTGTATCTATTGCTGTAAATTGTTACAACATATTTAATATTTTCTTCCTCTGTGTTTTGGCCTAATAAGTTTTGGTTCCCTAATAGTGACTCGGTAAATACTTGTTTTGATAAATGAACATGGGATATTTTATAGGGAATACAAAAGATAAAAACTATCATGGAAGTATAAGAGATGTGAGAATGAGTCTGCAAAACAAAAAACCTGTTTCAACATACTCAGATAGTGACTTTGAAGCCAAGCATAGACCTTCAATGTTACTTCTCCCACCAAGAGAAAAAATGTGGAGGAAGAACGTGGCAAAAAAGAAAAACATAGTAGAGATAGAAGCAGAATGACAAATGCCAAAGAGACTTCTATATTGTTCATGAAATAGTAATAAATAAATGATTTCAGTAATAAACTATATATTTTAGAAGAAAACACAAAAGAACCTATGTAGTATTTATCTCTGTACTATTTCTGGGAAAATGGAAAGATGATGGGATAATGGAAATTAAAGACTGGGGAGACAAAAATCAGTTGGTAAAGTACTTACTGCACAAACATAAGCTTTAAGTTCAATAACCAAGGCTCACATAAAAACTCACTTGTGGTGGTGATTGCTCCTATTCCCTGTGTTTGGGAGGCAGGCACAGCAGGTCCCTGGGGCTTGCTGGCCAGCCACTGTAACTAAATTGGCAAGCTTCAAGCCAATAAGAGAATATGTTTCAGAAACAAGGCATACAAAACCTGAGGACTGAATGGGTAAAGAAGATGTGGCACATTTACACAAGGAATATTACTCTGCGGGAAAAATAAAATAGAATCTTGAAATTCGCAGGCAAATGGATGGAACTGGAAAAAACAATTCTGAATGAGGCAACTCAGTCACAAAAAGAGGAACGTATGTACTCACTCATATATGGTTTTTAGACATAGAGCAAAGGATCACCAGCCTATAATTCACACCACCAGAGGAACTAGGGTACAAGGAGGAATATAAGAGATTCATACAAGGTCCCTCACAGAAGGGGGAAGGAACATGATCCCCAGAGCATGTTGAGAGTGGGGTTCAGTGAGTGGAGAGGGAGTTAGGAGAAAGAGAAGGGAAGGAGAGGAAAACATGTGGGACTAGGAGGATTGAGTCAGGAGAGGAATAGACAAGAGGAAAAAGACAGAGAGAGAGAGAGAGAGAGAGAGAGAGAGAGAGAGAGAGAGAGAGAGAGCATAAAAGAGGGAGTCATTATAGGTTTGAAAAGAAAACTGACTCTAGAGAAATGTCCAGAGTCCTAAAAGACTGACCCCAACTAACAATTCGAGCAACAGTGGAAAGGCTACCATAAATGCCCTTCCCTGATAATGAGATTAATGACTAACTTATCCATTATCATAGAGCCCTCATCTAGTAGCTGATAGAAACAGAAACAGACACCTACAGCTAAGCACTGAGTTGAACTGGAATCCAGATGCAAAGAGGGAGGACAAGACCAGGCTTCAGAAACCCACAGAGACAACTGACCTGAACAAGGAGAAACTAATGGGCCCCCAGACTGATAGCTGGGAAATTAGCATTGGACTGACTCAGACCCCCCTGAACATTGGTCTCAGTTAGAAGGCCTGGGCAGTCTAAGGGACCTCTGACAGTGGAACCAGGATGTGTCCCTGGTACACAAAAGAACTTTGGGAGCACATTCCCCATGGAGGGATACTGCCTTAACCTAGAGGCAGGAGGGAGGGCCTAGTCCCTACTCCAAATGACTTGACAGATTTAGATGATCCCTCCTGGAAGGCACCATCCTCCCTGTGGAGTGGGGGGGGCAGTGGGATGGGAGGGTGGTTGGGGGGCATGGGAGGGAGGGGGAACTGGGATTAATTTGTAAAATAACAAAACAAAACAAAACCTGAGGATTATCCCAGAAGTTGACCTTGAACCTCCACACATACATCCCAGACATGCACCTACACAGCCACAGATACACAGATAAGGGTGCTAGCACGTACGTGCATGTACACGCATGCCCGTGCGCATGCACACACACACACACACACACACACACACACACACACACACACACACTTAATAACTGTGACTCTTCCCTTGAGTGGGAAATTCATTACGTTTAAATGACAAGTTAACTTTCTTCAGATACTATAAATCCCTAGCATTTCAGCCAAATTTCAAAAATTTTAAATTATTACATAGACTTTCTTACTTGGTTCCCAGCATTGCTTTTAAGTTTATTTTGGCCCAGGGTCTCTCTAGGTCCAACTGGCAATCTTGGAACTTGACCTGAACTAAACACTAAATAAAATTGTTTTCCTGAACCAGGGCTGTCTCATTGTCTAGTTTTTCTGTCTCTTGTACCATATAGTGCCCAGACTTCCAATCCCAGTATCAGATTTCCAGACCACACTTCACAAAGAGGTCAGACTCCATGCCAACACACAGTGACATCCCCACAAATGAAGCAGGTCCTTGCCAGATGCATGAATGCAGCCTACTATTTTACTGGCAGAAGAGAACCAACAAAAATTGGAGCTGTCATGAAGAGAAAACTCAGAAATTATGGAGCCTTGTGCCAAACTTGACATCAAGAGAAAATGCTGAGGTCATAACCCAGATATCTCAGTCAGCATCAGCCACCTTCAGCAAGAACCAGTGGTTTAAATTGTTCCTGAATTCTACACTTGAACTTTTAAACTCCAGAGAGGAAGTGCAGCAGGGAACAGCAGAAGTCTTCAGAGCAGAACTAGCAAGCAGGTGCTAATCTATGGCACAACACCCAGGTTTGTGCAAGGGCGGTAGATAATGACCATTCTGATTGGTAAAGCAGCTCTGAAGTCTCATGCCCAACTCAAAACTCTTTACCAGGGTTTGACATGGAAGTTATAATAATAATAATGGAGACTGATTACAAAGAAATATGTTAGTGAATATATCCATGAAAACTAAGCTTTGAAGGAGAGATCTATAAAACACTGAGCACTGAAACTAGCTGTTGTCAGAATTCCCCAACTACTACATGCTATTGTTTAGTTTTGAAATAAATATCAATTACCCACTGCTAAAGATCAGAGATAGCATTTCTCACCAGACATCTGGATTTGAAAATAGCTTTCTCAAGGGGAATATAATATGCAAAACTGAGTGTCAGCATCTCCATTATTCTGTGGTCTCAATATGACATCTAGAAAAAGAAATAATTTTGCTATTGTATTTTATAATTATGACATACAGTTTTTTGCTGTATAATTTATATGACTGCTCTTTCATGACAAGAGGCTCATTGAACTAGAAGATATACCTAAAGTTTAGCAAAGACAATGTTTCATTCTGTCCTTTAGATTTATTTAATTCCAGAAAAGTTAGTATCCTACCAAGGATTATGTAGTGGAAGAGAGAGACCTGAGAGAGACCTGGGTCCTACTCCCAAATCAGGGTCTTTACATAATGCTCATCTTGACCTTTGATAAACCACAATGATCCCCTCAGTCTTCAGTAGGTTGCCTTTTGAGTGACAATATCAATTTGTTCCATTCCAATGGTCTTGCAAACTAACACTTAATATATATATGATATATAGAGAAGACCTAGATTGCTCAATGCAGAAGTTAATGGGTTATTATGGCGGGAGTTTGGAAGACCTTATGGTCAGTGGAAATGTGGACAGGGATGACTAGACTTTGAAGGTCCAGAAAATAACAGGAACACTATTAGAAATTTCACTAGAAGTCATTTACATTGCTTTCTGCCAACAAACTGAACTACATTATGCTCACATCTTGCAATTGTTACTCTGATTTTAAAAGCTATTTATAAGTTGTCCAATAAGGAAAATTTCAACCCAACAAGACATTAAGGATGTAGCATGATTATTACTCACTGTTCTTAGTCATATTACAGTGACCAAAAGGCAAAATATATAGCATAAGTGAAAGGGTAAAGGCGACTGTCACCGAGCCTGATTGCCTGTTTTGGATTTATGGGATCCAGAATGTAGAAGGGAAAACTGACTCCTGAAAATTGTCCTATGACTTCCACATGAAAGCCTTGGCATGGGCATTTGTACACATGTAACACACAAACATAACACAAATATACATGAATAAAAATGTACTAAAATTTTTATAAAATTTCTATTTCATTTATTACACATTATAACAGTCTGACTTGTTCTCTTGCTCAGATTAACTGGACACAATTAGCTCACTTTCACCTCAGAGCAAGTTCAAACTGCACTAAAGGCCTTTTAAAAATAGATAGTAAGTTTGAAACCTTACAGCTATGTACAAGGTCAGAGCCACAGATGGACCATGATGCCAAATTTGGCTACTAGAAATACATAAAGGTTGGCCCACTTGGACCACAGTTGCATCAGCATTTCCCTAGGATGTTGCTTTTGAGCAGGGAACCCCTTCATTTGCATTCACAGTTTGGGTTCTCTCCTTTCAAATGAGCTTGTATTTTTACAAGATGGAACCTTCAGTGGGTGGGATCTTGCCTTTGGGAGGGGGGCTTTTTCTGTTGTCCAAGTGAAAAGTTCCTGATTTTCCTTCGATGATACGAATCTTGAACAATTAGAGCTACTGTCTAACCTGTCTTACCCTTAATTTTGTTTTGTTTATTTATTTTAACTTCGTTTCATTCTTAGGAATTTCATATCATACACCCAAACCTCACTCATTTGCTAGTCCCTCTGTATCTGTCCTTCGCCCTTGTAGCATGCCACCACCAAAAAAAAATGTAAAAAGGAACAAAAATAGAAATATTAAAACAAACAAAAGATCAGAAACAAAAACAAAACTGATATGGGATGTCCTTCTGTACTCTGCAAATTTGTGTTGCTTTTATTGGTTGATGAATAAATCTATTTTGGCGAATGGACAGGCAGAATATAGCTAGGCAGTAAATCCAAATATGAATGCTGAGAGAAGGAAGGTGGAGTTGGGGAGATGCCATTTAGCTGCCAAAGGAGTAACATGCCAGAGCATTACTGGTAAGCCACGGCCTCATGGCAATACATAGACTAATTGAAATGGATTAATTTATAAGAGAGAACTAATCAGTGATATGTCTGAGCCATTGACAAAACAATTGTATTTAAAATTAGCCTCTGAGTGATTATTTCATAAGCAGCTGCAGGGACCCAACAGAAAGGGAAAGAAGCCAGTCTAGTGGGGCCTTGCGAGACAGAGAAAAACATCCAGCCACACTAAACAAAAAGATGCAACCAATAAAAAATGCTTCACTACTCTAACTTTTCTGCCCTCCCATCTTATTGGCATTGGGAGCTACAGTGTGTCACAGTAGGCTCTTTAGTCCAAACAGCTTTGCTTGCAATGTTCATCAGGTAATGACTTGTTTGCTTAAACACTGCACCCTCATGGAAACTTCTCTCAGATATCCTGCTGTTTACCCCCAGTCATGGAGATCCTGTGTCTATGGTTCCATAGGACCAGTTATGTGCTCTGGCAGGTCATACATAGATGGGGTAAATGTTGGGGTGTGCCAACTCAAAGCCCTAGATGTGGGTCTGGGTGGTAGTTGAGTTGGTCAGTCTGGGCCACTGGGACCACTCTTCTCAGGTGAGAGACAGAGCCAGCTCTCCTATGGTGAGGGGTGGGGAAGGCTTTTCCCAGTGTCCGTGGGGGGGGTTCTCCTATGGGGGTGGGGCCAGCTCTCCCAAGCCAATGAGAGGGTAAGGCAGCTCAACATACATGCTTTGCATGGGCCCCTGTGATAACATGATCAGCAGACACAGACCTCAGCTACAGCAGAACTTTGGACCCAGACATGGCCCTCAGCAGCTGCTTGGGTCCACATGTCACCATGGCAATGTAGGCCACCCAGACCAGGATGGACCTAGTGGCAGCTTAGTCCCTGGACACCAACATGGCCACAGGTAGTGGTTCAGACACCGGGCATTTGTGTGACCTTTGTTAGCAAGATGGGTCATGGACATTAGCACAGACCATAGTTTCAGCAAGACCACAGACCACATGGCCCTCAGCAGCATGCCTGGCCCAGATGTCACCATGGCCCCAGGTGGCAAGTGAACTACCCACAATAGCCCATTCCTCACCTCCATCAGCTCTTCAGATCTAACTCTCCACAGCACATGCACTATTCTACCTCTCTCTCCTATTTCCCCTAGTATGTCCACTCACCATAATGGCACCTGAACACCTGGGCCTAGTGATGCCAGGTGGGCTCATGGTTGTCTTCTACCCACCCAGGCCAAGTGGCACCAGGTGGGCATGTGGGTGTCATCCACCTGCCAGGACTTATCTGTAAGTTTAAACTCGATCACACTCTGCACATTTTTAGTGTCGTTTGTCTCTATATTTTGCTCTCCCACTGCAGAGCTGGAGAAGAGTAAGCAGTAGCCATGCCACAGTCAGATGGAGTCCTAGTTTGAAATTTCCACTGCTAAACAAATTAGTCCATTACTTTTCAGTCCAACAGCAATGAAGTTCTCACGGCATAGGAAATGCAGCCCATGTTCTCTCCTGAAGACTAACACTAATTGCCTCTAGCCTGGTTCTCAACGGAGTACTTTCTCCCCTCTGTAACAAGAGAGAGGTTATCAATGTTTATGTTTCTCTTGAAATTCTTATCTTCTACTCTCCCCTTAGAATAGCCCAATAATGCTCTTTGTACAGCAACATGGAATTTTACTAGCCTCAAATTCCAATCTCTTCCCCAGTCCTTCTGCAAATGCATTCCAAAGGCTTGCGAAACCACATGGTCAAGTTTATTCAGCTGCAAACCTACTTCAGGGCCCAGTGTTCTGTCTTAGTCACTTTTCTCACAAGCAGCTTGAGGAAAGAAAAGTACATTTTGGCTTATAAAAAAATGTGGTTCATCATGGCAACTAATATTTGGTGGCAAGAGTATGAATCAGCTGGCCGTATTGTATATGCAGACAGGGAGCAGAAAGAGGCATTTCAGTACCATTTCTCTTTTTTATTCAGTCTGAGACCTGATCTCACAGAATGATGCTATGTCCTTTCACTTCAGTGGACCTAATGCGGAAACTTCCTCACATATGTGTACACAGGTTTGTTTCCATGGTGGTCCTAAACCCCACCAAGTTGAGACTGTTAATCATCATACCAGACATATGTGGTATAAAGGGGAAGTAATATAAACCAGAACTTAACAGTAGAGAGGAGAATGTCCAAAATGAGAAGAAAAAGCAAAGCCTCCAGAAACAATGGGGTCGTTTCAATCTTTCCTTTTGGTTCCAAAGTCTGGACTCTGGACTATGAAAAGGTACCATCAAATGATAAATAGAGAATGGTGGAAATAAATGCAAAAAGACCAATCTAATGTCAGCTTTGTTGAGACTCTGAAAGTACTGTGGAAAAGCAAATGCACCATGCCTTTCCTTCCTTATTTGCACGTGAGGGATAATCAGTTACTTTATTACTTTTACATAGATGGGATTAGCTCACAACAATAAAACCGTGCCTGAACAGGTGTTAAGTAAAGCCTTCACTTAGAAGATCACAAAGCTTCTACTTCCTGGTGAAGGCTCAAGCAAGTGGACTCTATTATAGCACAGGCCACTAGAGGAGCAGTTGTTATCCTTATCAGGTGACCAAGAAGGGAGTGGAGTGAGCAAGCAGGCAGAATGACTCCCCTTAGCAGGGAACCATAGCAAAAGCAGCTGTTGCTTATCAAGGACACACTAAAGATGATGTCATCACACTAACAAGACACTCAAAGTATTTTGATGTTTGCGCACTTATATATATTAAGGATGTCCCGGTCTGCAGTTCCACAGGAGGAAAGCATTCTTCCCAGCCCAAAAACTTTCCTGAGCTTTCTGGTGAGTGAATCTGATCTTTGGGAACCCTCTCTGATACTCCAAAAAGCTAGAACAAGTGCAGTACGGATATCAGTGTTCCTCCCCACTTACTACTCCCTTGACATTAGACATTGTCTTCTCCCTTCTTTCATGGCCCCACCAGAGCTCAGAGATTCCTCTTCTTTACTGTTTTTTTTTTTTTCCAGACCAAGGAGGCTGACTTTCTACAAGCATGAAGCCCACAGTATGTTTCCTCCTCATCTTCATCTCCCTTCTTCATCTGATGATCTCAGTGAACACTCACTCCTCTGAAGACTCTTTGGTGACTGGAAAGATCCGGGAAGCTCTCAATGGTAGAGGCTACCATCGGGGTAAGGAAAATCTGAGCCTAATCCTTACTTAAGCCATGTAAATATTTACTTTATCTCTATCTCATTCCGAGACCCCCAACCTCTGATTAGTCCACTGAAGCCATATTTTCCTGTTCAGGGATTCCTTTATTATCCTACTCCCGTTTGAACTCTTGGTCAAAATGATGGGGAATAAGGAGGGTGGTAGTTGTAATGTATGAACACATTATGAATCAAGTATAATTCAAATATTTTGGTTAGTTCACTTAAATTTTACAGCCAATTTATGAGCTAAGAATAACTATTACTTTTATTCCATGAACTACGAAATTAGCGTGGGGGTCTGGAGAGATAGATAAGAGGATCTGATTTGATTCCTAGCATCACATGGTGGCTCACAAACATTAGTAGCTCCTGTCCCAGAGGATCTGACTGAGGCATTCATTTGCTACACAGACACTCATGAACATAAAGAAATTAAACCTTAAAAGTTAGTAAGTAGCCTGATTGTGGAACAAAAGCATCTCTGAGACAAGAAGAGGACTTTGAAGGAGGTTATGGGAGAGAACTTGGGTGATACCCCTTGTCACATACTACTCAGAGTATCCTCTCTTGACAGAGCCTAAGAAGCTCTCCTGCTTTAGTGTTCAAAAATCAGGCAGATGGGCTTCCTGTCCTGGGGGTAAGTAACTCCACAAGAAGAATTTGTGAGCAAGATGTCCTATATTCTTCTCCATCAATCAATAGTGAATTATTTCCCTCAATCAGATTTGTACTACCACAGAGGTCCCTGGCTTCCCAGTCACTGCTTACTGATTTTCAGTTCCTTTAAAGTTGTTACAGAGAGAACTTTGGTTTCTGGGTCTTCCCTTCGTTTCTTTTTGTTGTTCTCTCAGATGCCAGCCATTTGTGTCAATTATCTGGTCATGGATATGGTCCTCATTTCTTTCCCAATCTATTTCCCTGCATTGCTGGGCAGGGACCCAACACAGAGGTGAATTTGTAATCAATTGAATGACATTGAAACTCCAAGTCCTATTGTTTAAATTATTTTTGCTCAAGAAATTTAAGTGACTTCTTTCTTGAAGTTAATTCCCCAGATTGAATTAGTTTTACCCAAGCTAGATTTACCTATGAGCTTCCTAGGGAAACCAATTGGGGTATCATCATCTCTTGCAGTACAAGAACTCTGATGTCTATGTCTCACATGTCCATACAGGGATGGCTGTCACTGGTTGTGCTTGTGGCTATGGTTGTGGATCTTGGGATATTCAGAATGGAAATACTTGCCACTGCCAGTGCTCAGTCATGGACTGGACCACTGCCCGCTGTTGCCGTCTGGCCTGAGAATCCAATTTTTAAATTATGACCATAATGAAACCATGGTCTCAACCAGGAAACCTGATTCAATGTCTTCATAATGAATTCATATTACCCAATAATTCTTCCTGTGAAATAAAGACATATCTGTACCTGTGCCTATTTATATTTAATGTTATTACTTTTAGCTTGTGTGTCTGTTTCCAGAGAATATTTTCAGTATTTCAGTGATTACACCTCAATACAGCATGTAAGATGGGTAGTGAAGAAGGATATGGGGCAAATAGAAAATGGACCGACCCTCTGGTCTCCTACTTCTTTATGACTTACCAAAAATTATTGAATGAATTATTGGCATGAAATATAGTAAAACAAAATGCCATGCTTTTATGGAGCTCATCAACTGGAACAGTGAATCTCAAACCATCTACAAGAAGACTTTGCAAGTTATGGGCAGAAAGGGAAATTTAAAATAATTTCTAAGTTCTCAGAATGTATGTGTACTCTTTCCAACTTGCATGCCTGAGTTGGCTTTCATCAAGGTAACCTCTTTCCCATTGCCTGTCTTCCAGATAGCCATAGGATACCACAGCCCTCACCTATCATGGAGTTTTGATACACTGTATCTTTCTGTGTATAAAAACTTACAGAATTCCAAACTAAGAAGTAATTTTAAATGTTGCTACTAATGTTAAGCAAATTAATAACTTTCTTAGCAGCAAGTGTGTTATAAATTGAGGGACTGATGATCTTGGAGCTTCATGGTTGTAAAAGAGATAATAAATCAGTTTTAAAGTCTTAGACCACCAAAATTTAAAAAATAATCTTTTAAAATTTGGTGTGATTATTGGCAATTTGATAGGAATTTAAGTATATTGACTACCACTATAATAAAAACTTCTTCCCCCTATCTATTTAGTGAGTATATTTCTCAAAGCTAACAATCATGAATTAAAGACAGAAATGAAATTGAGGTGTAGTTATTTATCTGTAGATACATAAGGTATTTAGAGAAAAATCCTCACATTTCTCATAAAAACAAACACATTTCTAGGGGATGGAGAGATTGCTTAGTGATTGCTTAGTGATTAAGAGTATGTGTTCTTGTAGAGGATCCTGCTTTGGTTCCCAGCACCCATGTGTAACTCCAGTTCCAAGGGATTTGATCCCCTCTTCTGAGCACCAGGGACATGCATAGTGAACACACATGCATACACACTCATACACATTAAGTAGAATAAGTAAATACAATAAAAATTAGAACACTTTTTTCTTTTTTTAAACACAATTTCTATATTGATCCTTTGGGAAATTTATATCATGAGCCCCAATTCTGTTCACCTCCCAAATAAAAAACAAATAAATAAAAACAAAAAAAATCAAATCAAACCAATATAAGCAAGCAAGAAAACAAACAAAAATCTCTTCACTCTTCCATCTTTCCTGCTCTCCAACACCTCTTCATTCATCCACAATGTGTCACATTTTATACCCTTTTGTCCAATCAGCTTTACCTGAAAATGTTCATTGCCATGAGCCATTGGTCTGGTCCCAGGCCTCTGGTTTTCAATACTCTATCATTACTGGATCCTTACTGAAACTCTGCTTGGACAACAGAAATCCTAACTTAGGTATAATTCAACACACACACACACACACACACACACACACACACCAACTTGAGTGAAAATTTAAAATATAAAGCAGACCATAGCATTTTTATGTTTCAATCATAGTAATGTTAATCCTGAGGTTAACCATAGAAAAAAATCAATTCCACCATTTGGAGCCAAATTTGAAGCAAGCTTTATTCAAATTTTAAATACAGACCAAATGGACTTAAGTCAGAACCACTCCCTGGAATTCCCAGCTGAGTGTGCCCAAAGACATGTATTGCAGAGCTATTTAAGGACAAACCTATATAGCCACCATGTTTTCCTATGTGGCTTGGCTGTTATTGTTCAAGAATTGCAACTTCCAGTATTCCAGGAGGCTACCTGGTCCTTAGGAGAATGAGGCTTATAGGTTAATTTCAGGTCTTACATTCATCACCCCCTTAAGTTGTATCCTGGGTCAAATCCTTAAATCTATGATGGGTGCTGATTTATATTTGGGTCTAATAACCATCAGGTTAATGGTGGTACCCAGATAGGAATTATCATTTAGTTATTGTATCAATGATTGTAGTAGTTTGAATGTAGTTGGCTCCCATATGTTCATAGGGAATGGTACTATTAGAGATGTGCCTTTGTTAGAGTAGGTGTGGCCTTATGCGAGTAATTGTGTCATTGTGGGGGGTGGGCTTGGAGGTCCCTTTTTTAAAGCTACACTCACTCAGTGAAACACTGAGTTCACTTCCTATTGCCTGTGGATTAAGATGTAGGACTCCCAGATCCTTCTCCGGCCTGCATGCTGCCATGTCCTGGCATGATAATAATGAACTAAACCTCTGAACTGTAAGCTATACCAATTAAGTGTTTTTCTTTATAAAAGTTGCCATGATCATGGTGTCTCTTCACAGCAATAGAAACCCTAAGACAATAATGTAAGAGCCAGCAGTAATTAGTGGAAGCAGGAGAAGCAAAAGACCTGTGATGGCTCACATCAGAGTTACTATCTAGAAAGATATAGGAAATGGATGGCGCACCAGTCGTTTACTCCATCTCAGGTTTCCTTTTGGTAATACTTCCTTGAGTACAAAAAGATTATAATCCCAAGTGGCTTGTATAGAAATAACAATTTAAAAAAACCAAACACATATAATACCTATTTGTTCTTTGTAAAGCAGCTCAAGTTCCCTATCATATTGTACAACTATTTCAGCTAATGAATCTACCAGTTGATAAATCTGGTATGCCAATCGGCATTACAGGTAGCCATTTTGTCAGAGAGTTTCTTTTTGCCTTAGCATTTGAGCCTTTTAGGGGCGGGGCAAAGGACAATGTACTCTGATCTGTAACTACTTCCAACTGAAGCTGGGGCGTCATTGTCAAAGGCTGGGCAACAGGACATGTATCAGAAGCATCTGAGCCCCTGATCCAGCTGAAGAGACAGGGAGCAATCATTGTTGTGGGATAATCTTTTGGTACTCTGTGAAGACAGGTCTCTGCTAAAGCAACTTCTGGTTGGTTTAATAAGAAACTGACTGGCCAATAACTAGGAAGGAGAAGTTAGGTGGGAATTCTGGGTTAGGAGAGGAACTCATGTTAGCATGCACATTTTGCCAGCAGGATATGAAGGAGAGGTGACGAGCCACATGGTAGAATGTAAATTAATAAAGATGGGTTAATTTAAGTTATAAGAGCTAATTGGAAACAATCCTAAGCTAAGGCAAAGCTTTCATAATTAATAAGTTTCTGTGCCATTATTTGGGAGCCGACAGTATAAAGAAAAACTCATTATAGGTTTACATCAGCTCTCAGGATGTTCAGAGCTTAATAATTTCTTGTCCTCAGGTGATCACTGGATGGTGTCTGTCAGCCAAGTAGAAATATGCTGAGAAAAATATAGTCTAGGAACAGAAGTTAAAATTTCAGAACCTAAAAGAAAAGCTTACATTTGGAACTTTGAGGCCCACAATCCTAGTAACTGGGAGATGGGAGGAGTTCAAGACCATCGGACAGAGAGAGATGCCATCCTCAAGAATAGGCAGATGAGGAAATTTAAGCTGTACTTTGGGAGTTCATTTGGCCTATAACAGGTGGATCCAGGTCTTATGACTTTTCTTTTTGATTCCCTGAAGCTTACATGAAATTTTAGTTTAAAAAAGATAAAAGTTCTAGATATATTAGCATTGCCATTATATTGAAATCCATTGTATTTTGAAATAACTGCAGTAGACTCATGCCTTTGACTCCTAGAGGAAACTGTAACTTTGTGTTTTTAAAAAAAAATGAACATTTTTTACTCTGTCCAGAGAGCCAGATATGTTTTTTCCCAATGAAAAGCGCACTTTTAATTCTATATTTAGAAGACAACCAAAGGAAATGTAAAACCTTGAGCTTGTGACTGAATAGTAAGTAGTCTGGTGTTGTACCAGTTTTTCAGAACTATTGGTCAATCTTAAAACTCTGAGCCTTTGAAATCTCTGTGATAATAGCATAGAAGGGGAAAGAGAAATTTAAAATATCTTTCATTAGTTATATACCTTAAATTATTTTGTATGCCTTTACAACTTGTCTGTATGTATTTTAAATCATTTTTTGAAACCTGCGGAACTTATTTAAGCTTTTATACTCTCAGACCTTGCTTGGACTTTGGAACTTATTTTTAAAGCTTATCATTTACCAAGCACACAAGTAGTTATTACAGAGAACTATCATTACAAAGCATCTTCCTTTAGTAGAAAGTTACACTTGGAAGCTGTCCATCCTGCTAATGAAGCCTGTTAGCAGGGCAAACCTGTCTGTTTTTTCACCTAGTAGCTTTAACTAACTAATGGGCTGACTAATGAACTAACAAGGTAGCTACAGCCTTGGGGGAAGAAACTAATTATCTGCTGCTGCCTAACTGACAAAGGAACAGTTAGCCTAGCCATTAACATCATCAGAGATCTGAGAAGGATAAATTATAGCATGAAGTGTAATCCAAATAGCCTATGTATCAATCACAATAATGGAGACTAGTTCATAGTCCATTACCATTGGACAGTCATTCCAGGCTCCTGTGGTCTCCATGGAGTTGGGAATAGTGGTACCAGGACAGCATCAGTCTTCAGCTACCTGGCCCAGAAGACTAGGGGCTTTTGCTATAGAGGAGCTTGGGGGACTGACCTTATTTTGTCTAAGCAAAGGGGGCAATCAACTCTCCAGTGCCCTGCTTGTCCACAGGTGAGGCACCCAGGCAGTATTGTACACTGGTTAGCTTACCACAATCTAGGTGAGGTTATTGTCTCTGTGTCCCTTAATGTCTTGGAGACCTTGGGATTACTTCTAGAATCTGAGAGTTTCCACATGTCATAGTAAACCTAAACATCTTAAATGCCTTATTCAGCAGATCTCTGAAACATTTGTGGACCATTATCTATTAATGATATCTGAGCTAAACAACCCCTGCTTGTTTTTAGTTCTTTGTTTTAGGCTATACCTGGAAACCATATACAGGAGGCTAAAGAAAGCTTGTTTTCCCTGAAAAATGATCATGACTAATCATG